TTAAAATTGGTAACAAATAAATTTGAATATGAAAGACATGCATACACACACACATACACACACACACACACATTCACATTCTCATTTCACTTGACCTGTCCTAAACTATGTGTTGCTTCTTCTTTTGCAGAGCTCATACTTGTTTTAACCGTCTGGATCTGCCCCCGTACCCATCCTTTTCCATGCTTTATGAAAAACTCTTGACAGCAGTTGAAGAGACCAGTACGTTCGGACTTGAATGAACTGGAAGCACAATGCCCAGCTCTTTGTGGACAGGCAATTTCAGACGCTGCCTTCTAGAAGAATGACTGAACACTGGAAGTTTCAAGAGTTTGCTTCCTTTAGGGTAACGCTGAGTGCTCTTATTTTCCAGGAACACGTGCTCTGTCACATTTGGGGACTGGTCATGAGTCCTCTTAGAAGGATTGGGTGAGCTTGATGCCCAGGGAACAACCCAATAGTCTTTCAATCAACAGTTCTTGACTGCCAAACTTTTTCTATTTGTTACGTTCCAAGACAGAGATGAACCTGTATATGATCAGCTCCATGGTAATTTCTATGGACTCAGGAGAATCTTGAAACTTACTCTTGAATGTGGTTCAAGCCAAACTGGCAGCACTTGGCCCAATCTCCAAATTAGTGCAAGTTAAATAATATAATAAAAACAAATATATTTCCTGAAAGTATATTCATTTAAGCCCTAAGTTATAACAGAATATTCATTTCTTGCTTATGAGTGCCTGCATGGTGTGCACCATAGGTTTCAGCTTTCATGGGACATGAGTGAAAATGAAACCAAGTAAATATGAGGTTACTTTAAAGATTTGCAATAAGGTGGTCTGTGACAATGTATATGCCAGTGGTATGTGTATAATTATGGCTGAAGACAAACTGTTATTCAATGAATTACTAATGACAGATTTTATGCTTTATAATGCATGAAAACAATTTTAAAATAACTAGCAATTAATCACAGCATATCAGGAAAAAGTACACAGTGAGTTTTGTTTATTTTTTATAGGTTCATTATATTTATGTTCTTTAAGATGTATATAAGAACCTACCTATCATACTGTATGTATCACCAGTTCCATTGTCGTGTTCCATGCTTACTCGGGCATCATGCTAATATGCATCCATTTAAGCACTCTCAAGGGAACAAAAGGGCCTTTTATTTTTATAAAGGTTAAAAAAAATCCCCAAAATATTTTGCACTGAATGTACCAAAGTTGAAGGGACATTACAATATGACTAACAGCAACTCCATCACTTGACAAGTATAATAGAAAATAGCTTCTAAATCAGACTTCCTTCACAGTGCCGTGTCTACCACTACAAGGACTGTGCATCTGAGTAATAATTTTTTAAGACTCACTATATGTGATAGTATGATATGCATTTATTTAAAATGCATTAGACTCTCTTCCATCCATCAAATACTTTATAGGATGGCATTTAATACAGATATTTCGTATATCCCCGACTGCTTTTTATTTGTACAGCATCATTAAACACTAAGCTCAGTTCAGGAGCCATCAGCAACACTGAAAAGATCAGCTCTCTTTAGTAATAAGAATTCCATTTTCCCTCATCAATGAAGACATCACAAATTGAAACTCTCAGTACTATATTTCTAAGCCTACATTTTCACTGATGCATAATTTTCTTATTAAGAAACAGTTTTTCTATGGTAACTCCAAAACTGCGTGACATCATTCATCTTATTTCTGCTTAATTTTTATGAGAGGGTGTCCTTCATCTTAATTGCTTTTGGGATTACTCCACATCATTGTTTATTTCTTGACTTATGGCCATAAATAATCAGACGTTCAATAGAGTGAAGTTAAATTGAGGATGATAAAATTGTTGGATTAACATTTGGTTTGCCAGCCTGTGGGTTTACAGGCATTCCCCAGATATTTATTTGAGATTTATATTTATAAGCAGCCATGGAATTCCTATTATGGGATGTTGGCAATCTTGTATTTTATAGAGGTCATATGCATAGTTTTCATAGATGTTTCATGAGAACTGATTGCTCTCCTGTTGGTTAAGCTGCGTTTACTATTGGAAGCCTCAAGAGGAATACCACTCATATTGCATTCCTGCACTAAAGGCAGGTACTGCAATGTGGGGAAATGTTCTGAAAAAAGGTTATATTAGAAAATATATAATAGAAATCTGGACACGAGAAAGGAAGATTTATCTGTATATTATAATTGGACCAGAAAAAAAGGGAAAAGGAAAAAAAATTTAACTGGAAATGTCAGTTTGTACTTATCGATCATGAATGCAAGTATATATTTAATTTTGCAAACTGTTTTCACTTGTTTGTACTTTTTCATTATAAGGAAAAGTAATAGCACTTTTTAAAAAAATAATCACAGTTTTGACAGTATATGAGATGTTTCAGAGCTGGCATTCTCTAAGTTGCATTTCTTTCAAAAATACACTCACAGACCATGTTTGCTTTCATTTTGGTTTGATATACTTTGTTACCATATTCCATACTATTAGGTAAAAAAGATTTGAAATAAAATGTATCTCTTTAATTATTCCTAACAAATACATTTCTTTGTTAAGGCATCCAACTTCTTCCCAAATAACAGTTCACTTTAATATATGCAGACATTCTTAGTATAATTGTCTAGTTGATACCATTCTCAGAATTGGGAATTATCAAAGATATACTTAGCATATCAGAACACTGTGATAACCTATGTATTATTCTTTATTACTAAAATAAAAAACAGCCAATGCTAACTATATAAAATGTTAAATAACATTTCCACAAAATAAATTAGACTTTAATATACTCTACAATTAGAAATATACATAAATATTTTCTTCTGCACTATGAACCCAGATAACTAGGATTTATGGTCTTGTTTTTTTTTAAGAAATTCATAAGTGATGCTCCTTATACTATGAAAGATAGCAACAATGCATCATATATGTATGCAGAACATCTCTTAGATGAGAGAACAGGCACTGTATTGGCGCTCACTCTGTGCTAGTCACTGTGTTTGATGATGGAGCTACAAGATTCTAAATCCGCCCTTGAGAAGATCACAGTCTAGTAGAGTAGACACCAAGGTTTAAAAAGTATTTTTAATAAAATTTGTCAAGTTCTACAATCAAGGAATGAAGAGAGAACAGCTTATTTTATCTGGGAGATTCAATGATGACTTCATATATGAGAGAAGTGTAGCTAAAAAAAAAAAAAAAATCACGTAAGTGCTGTTTGTGTTGGTAACTAATGGCATGTAATAATAGTGCATCAATACTGGTCAAGCGTTGAAGCCCAGGAAGGTTTAAAATGTGCAGGCGGGAAGCTGAACTGTGAAGGAGCATCTCAAGGGTCTTCCAATTATCAATGAAATGCCAGAATTAAGTCTGGTAGTTTCCCTCCGTTTCCCTTCCTCTATACCACAATGTACCTTCGGTTTTCAGTGTGAAAAATCCTAGTCCCTGAGCCCAAACAATTTCTGGGGTCAAAACTTTTTTCTCGTGCACAAATTGAATGGATCTTGGTATAAGAA